CTAGGAGACCGACTTATGTTTATCCTGGTGATTTGGCAAAGACACAGCGGCACAGATGAGTCAGGAGCTGGGAGAAGCTGCTTTGCCACATTCCCATTGCCCCACTGCAGAGGTTTTCCCAAGACCGCCTTTCTTCATGCTGTCCCTGCTGCTTGCCCTGTGGGGCCCTGGTCCCTGCGATGGGGGAGCGATCCCTGGGATAGGGGGAGCGATCCCTGGGACTGATCCCAGGTGCTGGAGGCAGCGCAGCGCAGAGCAGCAAGCCCAAGGTGGGGCGGAGCAGGTTTTCTGGGTCCTCCCAGCAATCAGATCCATCACAAACCTTGTGCACATGATGCCTCTCTTGCCTCAGTTTCCCAAGCTGTAAATATGTCATAAAGCCTTTTCCAGGGTAGCGTTTCCCCAGTCTTGTGGCAGGGTTGCAGGGGAGCAGGCTTGTGTGTCGCCTGGCTCCCTGGTAGCAAAGTGAGAAAGAAACCCGCGGTCCCTGGGGATTTGCAGATGTGCAAAATATATAGATGGTGCATGAGCCTGCGAGCTCCCCTGACTTGGCACCTTGTCTGGGGTGGGGCGGCTGCGATTTAGAGGCAGGGAAGGAGGGGAACGCCCGTTTCTCCCACTGGCTCCATCCCACCCTGTTGGTCACCTTCCAGCGTGCGAAGTTCGGCGCTGCCCAAGCGCCGCCGCGCTGAACGGCAGCCGCTCTGCCCGTGGGAGCAGCCTCGTGCTTCAGAAATGGCTCGTGGTGATTAGTAGTAGGGTGAAACCAAAGGGTGTTTCCTAAAATGCATCTAGTGGGCTTTGGCTTCTTGGAGAGGGTTGGCACCTTTCCAGTGCTTGGCGAGGCATGTGCCCAAAGCTGCTCGCCTCCCGTGAGCTCCGACGGCTCTGGCCTGTCTCAGCTTTTCCAGAGGGAGAGCCCAAATCTGCCAGGTTTCTAGGCTGGGATTTTGGGGCAGAGCGAAGGGGAGCAATAGCAGATCCTGGGCACTGCTCTGCAGGGCTGCCCCTGAACCTTCTGCAGGGACCGTCCGCCCCGAGGGTCTTTAGCCCTGGCCCTTTTTGAAGCCATCGCGTCAGCTTTGCAGGCTTGTTTCTGTGTCTGTGCTGAGTACAGTCAGAGCGGGTCCAACTTTCCATTAACATTTGGATTTTCTGGCAGCTCAGCTGCAATTTTTTTTTTTTCCCCCTTCCTGCTTTTTAAAGCTAAAAATAAAA